GAAATCTTGGTTTGGGGTTTCTTTGTTTGGTTATGGAGGCGTCTGGCCGAGGGAGTTGCTATCAACTTGACCTTTCCAGGCTCTGAAGAAGGCGAAATTCGCCGAAACGTCAGCTTAATCGTGAACAAAGAACAATAACACCTCGCGTTTGCTCAAAAAAATACGAACAAAATCACTTGATCAATGCCGAGGTTAATAGAAAGTCGGTCGTGGCAGTAATGAAAGTGTTTGACTGAGTAATCTGCGCGTTAATTTGACTTTCCAAGTTTTGAAGGAGGGGAATCTGCTGAAACGTGAGCTTTTGTGAATGAATTATAGTAACAACCTCGTATCTTCTCATCAAGAAAACAGTGAATTATTTATTTATATGAACTTACAAACTGGTCTTTTTAAGCTGGTGCGAGGGTGGTATAGGTCTTCGTTGTCGTTGTCGTTGTTGTCGTTACTGTTGTTCTTACTGGTCGATGGGTGACGTTTCGGCGATTTCGCCTTCCTCAGAGCCAGTCCCTCTCGTAACATCGCGGCTATGAGGAAGGCGAAATTGCCGAAACGTCATCCATCGACCAACAAGAACAACAGCAACGACAACAAAGACCTATACCAACCTCGCACCAGCTTAAGAAGATCAGTTTATAAGATCACATAAAGAAATAGATCAGCTATCTATGCCGAGGTTTATAGAAAGTCGGTCTTTTGAGTTATTAAGTGAGTTATTATTGATCAATGCCGAGGTTAAGTCAGAAAAGGTAGTTCGTAAGATAACATAAATCTAGAACTATAATTCATCTTTACAAATAGAGAGAAATCAAAAATAATTAGAGACTACAAAGTTCAAGGTATAGGATAATGCGATTGCTCGAAACAAAGTCACCCTAGGCACATTATCTCACCTCTGGTTCTCTGTAATATTTCCATTTACAGAACGTAAGGTGAGGAGTTGGACATTTTCATCCGGAAGGAGAATATAAGTAAACCTATGTCATAGTGAGGTAATCCTCGTTACCTTCTCGATGAAAAGAGTTTTAATGAACGAGTTTCCCAAGACCAGAAATGTGACGTTATTCGCGTTAATGGGACTAGCGTGATCACTCTGGAATACGGAGAACCAGTATTCTAGAATGTTCTCAGGTTATCAGAACACTCATTATCCAATATTTTTGGATCGTTGGACGGATAACAACCTCGTCAGTGGCTTCTCCCTAGCAAAACAGAGTCCTGGCATAGGCTAATTCATAGTGATGGAGATGGATGGAAAAGACAAAGGGATAGAAAAGTCCAATCTGTTTTCAATTTGAGTGACAGATCAGGCGATAATGTTCCGTTAGAGTTTTCACGTACGATTACCCTTTTACATTGTTTAAGTTATCTTAGAAATTGTGAACGTCCTGTATGATTGAACCGTTCCTGTTAGAAAAGTGAGAAGAATCGCAAATTTTCACATACCCGAGGACAACATCGATAGTGTAATGTTTTCTGGAGAACAAAATGGCGGTTACTGCTACCACAGACAATATACTTAATATGCAGGAGAGAGGCTGAAAAATTGTATACTTAGAAATTTCTCTTTACATCTTGTAAAATAAATCAGAACCCGAAAATCCACCTTAAGTTTTTTGGGAGAGTAGTGCTTAAAGGTGTAGAAAGCAGTGAATATCGTTATTGTATGACCAGAAACAATTAAATCTCCACAAAGTTCACGAGGTCGCAGTTGCTGAAAATTGAGGTTTAAAGGAGATAAAGAGAAAGGAGAGAGAGAGAGAAAGAGGGAAAGAACACAGAAAATAATGAATAAATTAAAAGTTGATCTGACAGAGACTCAGAACCTCTCATCAACTGACCATTTTTCCACACATCCAGTCAACTACTAGTTCGGAAAGTCTTCAGCAACCACACCGCTGTTAACTTCCACAACGCTTTCGAAACTTTAGAATTTTGTTCAAGCGAAGAAAATAAACTTAAGCTTTGTAGACAAAAAATTTCTGGACTCAAATAGTCCTTATTATGATTATCAATGCTATCTTTGAGCTGAGTTCACGCATGTGAAAGTTACCGTCCAAAATTTTTCGTTATTTTTGAATAAGTCCTGTAAATGTGAACTCCGACGACATGTAAGGGACCTCAGGCCGCTCCATTGCGAGGATACGTGGTGGATGGTGACTATGGTGTTAAACGGATGAGAAAAGGGACTATGTACTAGCTGCATTGTGTAGGTGGAATAAAGGCAAGGAGTTTTTTTTCTAATCTGTGCTATGCCGTATTGATATCTGTTTTCGATATATTAATAATCGTGCGTTTCATACTTTTAATCCCAAATTCCCATCCGGAAGCCCAAGTTGAGTAAACGAATACCAGCAACCACCACCGTCCTGGTACAAACTTTGCGTTTTTGTAGGAACTTAAAAAGAACGAGAGAAAACGCTATACGGCGAGATACGATAAATAGCTGACGGAAAACCGCTAATTTACTTCCGTCGAGCACTGGCGGTAAAAAAGATGACTTTTGTTTTCGGATCAAATTGACTAACTATGTACTTCATAGCGACACCACATTGTCCTAGAAAGTATCACGCCCATCTGAAAGGCTTCCTTATCTAAGCATGACAGTACTGGTGAGTGCCGCACCCAACTAAACTATACTCACTGTAGATCACATTCATTCCAGTTTCATGAATCAAACATGGAGTGAGATAAAAATATTTCACAGTGGTAGAGAAACAAGCCAGGATACATTTGCTATTTTAGGGCTGTTTTCTATTCAACAGTTGTAACTTCGAGCCTCATGTTGTTGAAAGGAAATATTTGTCAGATTATCGTCAGCAAGTAGTGCATTCATACTGCAATGCAGCTCTACAAATTTTTTATTTACCCCTATTTCATCAATGATCTCACCTCAATTCCTGCACTCCAAAACATTCTGGCCACGCGGGCGGAGACGACGTACCACGATCCATTCGTTTTTGGAGCACAATAGGTATGAACTGATGGCACAGGTACCTCAAAAATATTGCTAAAAACTGTGTTTTGCACTTATGGAACTAAAACAGCTCTGATTCATTAAGAGTCTTAGTCAATGCTTACTTGAGAACCTGATTTCCAAAATGTGAAAAGGATTTTTTCATGTAGCGAGGTAGCGAAGGCATGTGGTATACTGTGCAATACGAGGGAGATTGAGTAGTACGGTATCAAGGAAAAGTAAGTAACAACCATTCGCTCCTAACATTACAGTTAGTAGTGTTCTTAAGCTTATTGCAACTTTTCTCACATACTTAACCTTTTTATTTACTGCCTATTCTTTTTAACCGTGGGGTATTTTGCGAAATATAACTACTATAATGCTGAGATATTTGCAAAACTTCAGACCGCAGGTGTCTTCGGTGGGGAACGAACGTTTTTGGACTTGGGCTCCCCAGATCAATCCCGTTGATTGCCATGGTGATTTGGAAAAGAAAAGGAGTAAGGTTTAGCCCCTTACGCTGGCTCATCTTCCTAAATTTTTGGAATATCTAAATATGAAGTACATAAAAGGTTTTTCGATAATTACTCATTCCTCAGGAAATGAAAAACGAATTAATTAATGATTTTCTTACTTCGCGGAAACATTACAAACCACCGAGATTAATAAGAAGACCCACGAAGGACAGAGTTTTAAAATGGGAAGTGAAGGGCTTCTTGACTATCGTTTGCCACCGAATCACATTTACATTTAACTAGCAGATACAACTTATTAGTGGTGGCAGTAGCATTACTCAGTTTTCTCCAATTATCCGATGTGATTCGATGACGCTGACGAAAACAAAATGAGGAACGCAATGCGTGTTGATGAGCAAAACCTCACAATCTATAGCACCTTATACTGCGCCATTGGGATATAGTGTTGCAGGTGACTTCAATGCGAATTTCTTTCGCTTTATTGCTTGTGAAACTCGATGTGTTAACATTTTAATAACTATATGTTGACTTTTTTAGAGTCGCGCTTGGATAAAACTGAGAAACTACCTGAAAATCCTTTGGATTGTTCAGCTTACACGAAGTTATCATACAGCTTACAGTTTTGATGTCTTCGTCTTCCTCAGAGCCAATAATCAAGGTCCATAGCCCACAGCTGTTCGTCCATCGACTGGAATGGTCAGCTCTGAGGAAGATGAAGACATCGAAGCGTTAGTCGAATAAAAGCTGTATGATAATCTATTATAAGTTGAATAATCCAAAAAAATGTATTGCTTATTCACGCCGAGGTTAAAGTGTAAGTCGGTTTGGTACAGTATTACTACCTGGAATATTTTTCATGTTCTCGGTTAGATAAAGCAAAGAAACTACCTGGAATACCGTAATGCAGAACGCACGGAAACAGTAGGAGAGTGCAGCACAGAAAAAAACCCTTCGCGACACCACCCATCTGAAACGATGAACTGATTTTCGGGTAAAGAAAAGAAGGTGGAGACTATAAGTGCAACAAACCTGTGCTGATGTGTGACAATGATGAAGAAGGCGTTGATGACAAGGATCATCATGATGTACTCGGTGATGCGGATCGCCCCGCGAACCTCTGGGAACCACGAGAACCAGATGTCTGGCAGCGGTGAGATGTCCCTGGGAACCCGCTCATGGATCCAGGCCAAAGCGATCTCGTTTAGTGCCCAGCCGATTCCCTGTTTGTGTTGACGGCACTTTTCCTTTCATAGCTATCTATCCAATATGCTAGGAAACCAGTTTAACATGGCAAAAATAGTAATGCTAATGAAAGTCTGCCACAAAGTGGAAAGCAGGTCTTTTCTTATTTCGAGATTTGAATAACTAAACAATCGGAAATTCCGATCATTGTTTCCCAATGCGTTTTTTCTCTTCAATCAAACTAACTGAAGGATATGAATTCATAGTGGAGTAGAGTTCCACTGCTCTATAGAACATTGAAATCAATGCTCACCACAAATACTATCGAAAGTAGCGTTGGTAACCGTCGAGTCGTGTACGGATTTGTGATAGAAATTAGTAAAACCTCATGTTGTTCTTTGTCGATCATTTCCTGAAAGCAAACTCAAATTGAGAAGAAGAAGCGCTATGATGAACAGTTGGGAAAGAAAAGCCATTCGTTCAGGACCATCTGGTTAGTGACAACAAGGGAATTTTCTTCAGGAAAAGAAAATGAAATGAACATTAACAGAATGTACCAATTAATATTTATGCAAAAGAATTTCATTGCCATATTCACCTTCACGAAAAATGAGTGTAAAGATTCGTTTTCAAATGAATTGTAACTGATTGATGTTGGATACAAAACACGGTGAACGAAAATGTTTAAACTTTGAATACATTTCACTCCTATCCAGTAGAATCGATCCCGAAAAAACATGCGTACATTTCGGCAGTCGAGTAAGAATTTCTATAAGTCAGTCAGGTATGTTGGTATCAAACAAATTTTGTCTAAATGAGAACTACTTGCTTACTTAGGCAGTTGGACGGCCCGTCCTCACCGATTGTGCAGGTCCCAACATATTCTCCATTTTTCGAAGTTTTGCCCAAAGTCTGCTCGGGTCGTTACCAATACAGGTAGTTGCCGCCTTTGTGGACCATAGAGATATTTGAAACCATGCGACTTTGATACCAGGACGGTGGTGGATCTAGGTATTGGTTTACTTTTAGACAGGATTCCTGATGGAAACACCGGACTCCTTCTCAGCTTGAGTGACCCCGCCGAGGGAATGCATCACACCGCTGTACATCGCACTCCGACACGACCTCTCAACCACGATGAGGTGGTAAACCGTTGTCAGGAACTTGAAAAAGAGCACCATAAATCTTGACATAAGCAGTGAGCTCTAACTTTCAAATTTTACAAAACTTTTAAAATTTTGGTATGAGATCAACAAAATAAATTTTATCAAAAGTTCTATATGATGTTTGTACTGCTTAAATTCTTTACAATTCTCTTGAACAACCATATAAAAAATTGAAAGTGTTCGGTTAAACGAAATCCTTTCTTGCACACGGCCGATTCATTCGGTATTGTTTGGGAGGATACCTGCTTCGAAAAGATTACTGTTAGTCCAGACTATTGATAGAAGACTAAAAATAATGATATGAATTAGAGACGCTTCTCTTAGCAACGAGTGATGCTTTTCAGAAATGCATTTTATCACTATGGAGTGAAACGTCTCTTCCATGCTTCACTCGCACGACTGATAACGACTTTATGAGATATAAGGTAAAGGAAATAAAGCTTTCAATGACATAGAAATTCCGTTGCGAACTACTTCAAATCTACTAAAGTGCTTTAGTAGAAAGAAGAGGAACATGAAGAACAAGAGAGAAAACAAGGATATCAAGAATAAGAAGAAGAAGAAAAAGAAGAATAGGAAGAAAAGTAAGTAGGAGAACAAGAAAAAGGAAAACATGAACAAGAGGAACAGAAAGAAAAAGAAAAACAAGAGAGAAAGAGAACAAGGAGAACAGAGAACCAAAAGAAGGAAATTGGAAACAACGCAATGGTACGTAGTGGAGCGTAAAGAAAAATCATAGTGAATGACTAACGTCTGAGATTGGAAAATCCAATGTACCTGAAATGACCTCCTAGTACTAGCTGTTTTATTAAATCTAGTTTTACACCTATTAAGAAAAAACCGTAAAAAACCAATACACATGAATGATGATTAACGCCCAACACGTTTACAACAAAGTAAGGATGCGAAGAAAGAGGCAACTGTGGTAAGAAAGGAAGTGGTTACGCATAAAATCACAGAGTGCCGCCGCTATCGCCGCCCCTATCCAAAAATTTCTTGCCCGACATTATGAAAAGCGCTTTAGTAAACGGTGAAGACTACTGCTTAAGATGTGCTCATCAACTCTCAAATGTAATTCAACCGTCTAAATATCTTCTAAAAGAGCGCGCATTGCTAAGCGGTTAGAGCTGCCATTTAATACACACGGGTCGTTGGTTTGATCTCGACAATCCTCGTGATTCGTTAATTTGGCGTTAGTATTCTCTAAAAAGATAGAAGGAAACGAGCTAATGCAGTGGCACCTAAAATCATAGTGTACAGCAGACATGCCCTGTAGCACCTGTATAATCACGAATGGAATCGAATACATAACGTATATCTCAAGGATTGATCACTTCATACTTCTATCCTTTAAATTCTTTCTTATAGAAATAATTTCTGTCCAACGATAATTAAAAATATGAATTGTCTTCCTTTCGGATTTCCAATCACCCTTTCGAAAACGACAGTTTTCCTCCGCGGCACAATTTTACGGGTTGATTATTAAGCGTTTGGATATTAGGGTTCACATAAGCGTCCTATGGATCCGATTAATAACAAGTTACCAGATTAATTAAAAAAATGTTTAAGCAGAAGTGAAGAACCTGAAAGAAAAAAATGAAGTTGTGAAGGCTAAGTGTCCTCACAATTCCTTGTGAGAATGTTAACAACTCAACAATGTTTATCCTACGGATTAAATGATCGCCGAAAAGTGAAAAAAAAGTGAAAGTTGAAAACTTCCACTGATCTATTTCTGCACTTGACAAGTGAGTTAATCACAATAGACGGTCGAAAACAAATAATACTACAGCCAAGCACATGTGACTCAAAGTCATGCTTTCCTTTGCATCTTATCTTTCTATTTGTTCAGATCGTGCGGCAATGTACCAACGTTACCAAACATTAAGCTATTGCACTTCTACATGGATGTATCCTAGTGGTTAGCTGTGTCGTGCAATACACATAAATCGGTCGTTGGTCGTATCACGCACCACTGGCCAATTAAGCTATACATCCTTTCGTGGTTGGCAGATTGATACCGCACGTGCCTGACAGAAGAACAGCCTTGACGTGACACATCGGTAAGCCACCGAACGTCATTGTATAGGCAATATATAAATCTAACCACCTTGGCGATATTTGTTAAAGTCGAATGCATAATGTACTTTTTAGGAATTGATCAACGCCGAACGCTTTATTTTTACGCTTATTTCTATATAAGTCTTTTCTACTATTACACACCCGACACCACAAATATCACACTGTGTGGATCCCAGCATTTCCAGCATTCGATTTATTTCTTCTCATCCATCATCCAGGAAGGTCTTCCATTTAGACTTTTTGCGTGTGGGTTCGGCTACTGATTAGGGATTTTTCTGCTCTTTGTAAATGTTGCTGAATGGTGTTCGAGTCCATTCTTGCGTGTTCGTTCCCACCGCAGACACCAGCGATCCGGAGTTTTGCAAATATCTCAACATCGTTGTGGCTTTAGTTCACATAAAACTGAGCCATTAGGAAGGAGTACGCACTAGATAAAAAGTAACAACATTGTTGAGAATTTCGGAATGGTGACGACAACGACAGCTCATCTTCCATCAACATAACGTAAGAGAACTGAGCGATTTAACCTTAGTAAGTGTACTGTTGAAGCTAGCTGAGATCGTTCTTCTTCTTGCTGCCGTTTATGACATAGACAACGAGTAAGCAGGTGTGGTCGATTTCTATCATTTTTGATAGTTCTGTTTTCGGACCAAAAAAAATGAAAGAGACTGAATCTTCACTCTCCTTGTGTTCGGAGCCTAATTAAGAAGGCAAACGTAAGAAAAAGTTATATTCAATACTAAAAATAATATTAACACAGCAAAAAAAGTGCTAACATTGATGATAGTTTTGTTTGCCGTCGCTCTAAGAAATTTCGCACATGAACTTTAAGTTTGCTTGTTCTCGGTTAGTACATTTTTCTTGAGTTATTTCAGTAATGGTTCCATTTTCCTCAATGATCAAATTACTACTGGGTGTCGTTATGGGCTAGTCCAACTAGTAATTTCTAGCTGAAGGTTCAAAAATTGAAGCAAGCGATGGAGAACCCAAATGATCACAATGGGTTCTACCAATGTTGCTAAACAACTTTGAAAAACAACAACGAGCTCAATGGATATTTTATGAGGCAACCATCCGTTCTTAAACAATCTCCGGCTACGGTAACAGAATGAAAATGGAGATAGAAACTCTTAAATGGACACAAAGCAGTCCTGCATTTCTCAATAGTCATCTACCAGAGTTTTCATTTGTCCCACTAACCAGTTTGGTCTATGAGTTTTCTCTTCCATTATTAATATGTTACAATGGTGAGAATAATGTAGGCGTTCAAATTGAGGATAAAATCGAAAGATTATATCCTTTTTGACTGGGGTAAGTTGTTTCCTTTGCAATACATGGCATGGTGTATTGTAGACCCTGCAACACTGAACAGATTCAAAGGAGGGATTTGGTTACGACGAAACCAAAAAAAGCACTCGCCCAGAAGCAAACGAAAACCAACGAAAAAAGTTTAGAAATCGAAAACCACTTATTTGATGTTAAAAATAGGATGAAAAGAATCCGAAATTGTTCATAGGATGAGCAGTCACTTCGTTCCACAACAGAGTGGGCGGCTATTTGAGATAGCAAGCTTACAAGCGGCTTAAATGCTCATCTATCCAAATGCTATGTTATGTACGACCAACTTCACTTCAGAATCCGAAGTCAAGTTCATATAAATGGAGTTCACAAGTCGTTCCCATACAATTTTCACAGAACAATGTTGACTTGAACTGATCTGAAAACGAAACAAACTATCTGAACATAAACGAAATCAACTTTATTCTTTTCCGCATTTTCTTCTCAAGATCAGATTCAAATTAATGTCGGTATCAGAAAACACTTGACGCTCGTAGCTGATAAAGTGGCATGAGATTTACGACACTTCACGCACTACGTCGCTACTGTTTCCGGAGATTTTGCTTTCTTCAGTGAGTTCTAGGAAAGTTTTCTTATATGATTTACTTTACAAACTTATAAGAAAAGAGAAAAAATGAATCTTAAACTCTAATCAAACCAGGGTAAGTAGTTTAAACACGATCCGGTTTTTCTTCACTTTCTAGGAAATGAGACAATTCACACAATGTCCTTTCTTCGCTCCATTTTTGCACGTCTAAAGTTGATTCACTGCATGAACACCAAAACAGTCAAAGAAAACTCCAAAAGTGGACGTAAAAATCGATGGGATATCCCTGCTCTGGATGCTCTTTAATATTAATATAATCTTTGATTGCGGATAGGATTCGAGCAGAATTATAGTACTTCTATTGGACGTTAATACTGGACTAGTGCAAAAACGATTATAGACTTTATCCTCATGAATTTCCCAAAGACATTTTATTATATATTCATTGCCGACATTTCTGTTGTACATCATTTCAAGGCCTTTTCTTTTAACAACAACTTTTCATGCAATCGTTTTTCAAACTTCAATCTAGGGCCATTTTTCACCAATTGATATGGTGCTCTCACTGGACATAAAGCAACGCTAGCAGCTTGAAATGACATCAAGGCATCGCTCAGGGATGGATCTTACGATTTCTACCAGATGATACAAGTCTCACGATGAAGGAACTGATCAGCGCCTAACAACATTGACAAGGATCATCTGAGACAGATAATAGAATTCGCCTCTCGAAAACTACCTAGAGTTTGTTGGAAGAAAAAATCTAACAAACACATGTATGCTGTTTAAAAACCTCGCGATTGCTGAACAAGAAAACGACACATCATATTCCAATGCCGAGGTTAAGAGAAAGTCGATCCTGGGAACTATTAACAAACACAGTTGTAACTGATTCGGAACACATTGAAAAGGATGAAAAAGCTTGATGATTAGGTGCAGCAATGAAGCCTGTTTCGCACTTCTTTTACACAACAACAAAAACGACCCATTTCTCGATCGCATTGTGCCGTAAGACGAAAAGCGAATGCTTTACGACAACAGAAACGATAAGCAAAGGGGTTGGAACGAGATGAAAAAGTACCTAAGCATTCTCCAAGGCCAAGTTTTCATCAAAGAAATGGTTATAATAGGTTTTTTGTTTTCAGTGGAGGGATTCACCTAGGCCTTGGATATTGGAAAAAACAATCACAGTAGAGTAAGAATATAGTGAAAGCGATAGAACTCTCCAGGAACTGTCCAGAAAAGTGCATTCCTCTTGGACGGATCACACAAAGGATGACTAACGCTGCAGATATTGAACAAATTGAGCTTGAAACAACATAATGCCCACTATACCCTCAAGACCTCTCAGCAACCAGTTATTTCATGTATATCGACAAGTACTGGTTGAAAAAATCATCGATAGCCAGGCAGATGGAAGAAATAAAAAAGGCTCCTGGCATTGATCAATTTCTGAGGGATGTGCCATGAATTCGATTAAGTATCTTTGGAGGCTATTGAATCTGACTTTTACAATTACTCGCGGTGGCCTAAAATGGATCAAGTCAGTGCGTGCTGCTATCTTCGTAGAAAACTCTGTTACCAATTTTTTCGACGCTGGAAGGATGGAAGGCTTGGTGTGCCTGGTACACTGGTATCAGTCCCATGTGTATTGCAGGGCGCCTACTACCACTACGCTGTGCGCCCCATGAAAGAAATTTTTGCGAATCATTCGTCGCTTTCAGAGAACATAGAGTAAACGGTCGGAATAAATAAACCGATATCTCTTTAGTGAGGGCGTGTAGATCCTAGAAGATTTTATTTTGAATAATAAATTTTCAAAGTTGTGGTCCAAATTAGTCATTCATTACGAACCAAAGGAGAACAACAGATGTGACCCGGGTAGCGCTAAACACATCAGAATTTGTGCTTTCTTTCCGATTTCTAATGCATGACTAACAAGCCATCATTTCTACAGGCGCTTTTGATACTAAGCACAAAACTCTAATGTCGTCTGCAGAAATCGCTTTTCATTAATTGACTGGCATAGACTAAAAATAGGAAATGCCACAATGTTGAGAAAACCCATATGGCCGCATTTTCACGCTTTGAAGGCCTATATATTACGTATCACATTCTTAGCTGTTCTCATGGGATTGTTTCTGTGGTGATCGTAGTCAGAAGGATTGTTTCGGAATCACGCTTGATTAATTTGAGCCTACAACTAATGAATCGTAAGCTATAAGAGGATCAAAGTAAACCAGTGATTCAAAGAGACATAAATCTAAGCAAACGACGACGCTTGTCTTGGGCACATTTCGAACACTGCCAGCATGAAACGGAAATGCTGCAATTCAATGGTAAATGTCATCCATAATTTATAGACTACAAAAACAACTGTCTAGAGAAATGGTTCAATTTTATACTGCAATCCAGCCAATGCAGCGTGGCATGTTTCGTGAATTTATTGTTTTTAACCAATAAATAGGATTAAGCGGCAGCTAATGTCTGTTACTGATAGCAGTGTTTCTTCGGCAGATTAGTCTTTCATCCAACTATTTGACTACCGAGGGAAGGAAGGCTTGAGATGGCGTTTTCGAGTCGACCACAGTGTGTTCATGAGCGACTGAAGATTCTTGTGTTGTTCCGTTTCATCGAAACAAGTTGGAAGATCTATTGAAAAGATTTGTGGTAAAATGATTTATCTATTGAGAGGGCTGCTATAGCGAACGTTTGAATTTCGTGAGGGCAATTTTTGAAAAACCAAGAGACTTTTCCCCATCCCTTTCGACGATCTACAGCCTTGTTGTGACTGTTGATGTCCTTGCTTATCGCACTGCGAAGTTTACCTAGGAATGCGTCGCCTGAGCAATCTAAGCCAAGAAGAAAATGAACAATACCATGTGAAAGTTCTGCTGAAAGCACACTTATGTTACGAAAGAACCTGGCGAGTGATTTTTATGGTTACTCTTTTCTTTCCGAAAAAAGTAAAAGTAAATGCCGTCGTAGCAAAAAGTGATGGTCTTCGCACTCCATCAGTAGTCGGAACCCTGTGACCTGCTCTGGTGCACGACTGGAGTACAACTTCGCCCCAGAATTATTCGATGGTTAACGGGATTAGAGACAAGCCGATAGATGTAAGTTGTATAGGAATTTTTTTTCCCTAGTTATCTAAATGTAGAATGACGATTTTAGGAAAATTTAAAAGTGCAGAGAAAAGACAATGAAGGAAAATAGAGTGCATAAGAGTGAAAAAGGGGAATAACGCCTGAAGTAACACAAAGTGTCACTTTGACGTTTGATCTTGAACTTCGAAAAAATTAAAGCTCACAAGGAAAATAGTGCTCCGTCTTTTCGTCTTATCAACACCTTCGCATTCGTCTTTGCCTTAAAGTAGACAGTGAAGAAACATGTCATCAAGAAAACAGTAAAATGCACTATGGCTTAGGAGTAATAACAATAGCTGGGAAGAAATAAGAAGGCTTTAAAGTACTGAGAAATTAATTTCTGTAAAAAATTGCAAGTAGTGCTCGATTTTGCAAACAGTTATTTAACCTTCGAAATTCTAATGCATCGTCCCGAAATCTAATGGGTCATCTTCAAAGTTTAGGTGGTTTGATCCACTAAAGTCCTCCATAAGAGAAGTCAACATTGAACGCTCTTCAACTCTGCCGCCTCATCGTCATTCTTATCAATCACATTCTGCTTTAACGTTTTACAAAGAAAAGTTGCAAGAGGAGGAAGAAAAAAAACTGTGCAGCGACGCCATCCGATTTTCCAAAAGTGCCGAATTATTTCCAATCCTGGGTGATTCTATTAGAGGCTGGGCATTCACTACGCATCACTCAGCAGCAGTCCCTCGTCCGAAAAAGTTGCTAAAGACATGCTCCTAAGCTCACGTTCATTGCCTTGGATAATTAGGCTAACATGAATTTATAATAAAGTTTTATTCGGCTAGGTGGAGGCATCCGAGTGAGGATACTCCGTTCGAGAGGTGCTCGTCTCAATTAAATTCAACTCGATTCATGATTCAACCAACGAACACCTACATTACGTGGACCAACCGCTATGGACAAACGACTCGAATCAATTCGTCTCTGACAATTCGTCTCTGAAGAAGACGACGACATCGAAACGCCAGCCGAATACAACTCCATAACAACGTCATGTTAGCTTAACCATCCAAGAAAACATTGATTAGCTGTACTAAAGTTGAGTAGTAGTCGGTTTTAAAAATTATATTTATTGCATTTTTCACATAAAACTTAGCGGAAGAGAGCGCATTTAGCATCATATGTAGAGATTTTCAATGTTGCAACGCTTTGAAGAAGTTTTTTAGGACACGACATATTAAGGCGACAAAGAGTGGAAGTTGAAGACTGAGGCTGCACGTAAATCACTGAGCATTTAGTAAGTGCAAGACGAATCACCTCAATAGGAAGAGTTGGAACGGGGTGTTCACCATGATTCGACCTTCATAGATGAACACTTCCACTTAAAGTGGACGAAAGCGTGAACCTAAGGTGTTTTCGGTTTTATACCAATCCTTGTAAGCGTATACACACATTGACCTTTCAACGTTGTTTGCTCTCGAAACATTCGTGCCAAGGAACTCTGGTCTTTTCTAACAAGACTGGACAGGAAAAAACTGAAAATTCGAGTGGCTGCCCTAGGAAACAAGTCGAATTCAAACATGAGATAGATGAGAGTCATATATTTTGACTAAAAATTGGAAGACAACAGAAAAGAAGTGTGATCCGTTGCCAAGCTCTCAGATATTGAAGTTAGAAAACTAAGCACGACAAAAGGAACGTGAAAAAAGTTAAAGACGGAAATATACCATAATGTTGAATTGAAATATTTTCCATAAATAGGCGTAATTTTTCACCAATGACATAATAATTTCCTTGAAATCACTGCTAATAGGGCGAAATGTTTCGTTTCTTTATGCGTCAACCTTTTACATAGGTGAGAAAAACGAATGGTTTAGTTTGCTGATTAATTTCAGCAACTCTCTACCAAAGACTGAAGGAAAAAAGTGCATTCATTAAAATGTTTATAACACGGTAGGTGCGTCGAAGTGGTTAAAGGTCCTCTGTAGTAAAAACATAGTAGCTCTTTCGATCCTATGCAATGCATTCACCAAGTGCCCTACGCCTCCGCAGTCGACAGATTTCTATCAGAGTAGTTTGCGAGGAAAAAAATAGGCTTATTACATCACTCGACAACTCATATGCATTCGGTCATTTGTAGCAACGGTAAATTAAGTCGAACACTGGAAGCATCTCTTAGGAATTGATCAACGCTGAACGTTTTATCTTTCAATACTTATAAGCTTTATGTCCTCTCCCAACGGTTTACCAGCTCATCGTGGCTGGGAGTTGTTTCTGGATGTCGGGCAGAGATGTACAACAAGGGTGTTCAACCTCTCTGCGAGGCGTGCGAAGCTGAAAGGAAGTCTGGCACTTCCATCAGGAAGCTCAGCTAAGAGTAAACCAATTCTATGATCTACCACCGCTCTAGTACCAAATTATATATAATATTCCGTATACGCACAGTGACAAATCTTTGTCTGAGACACAAGGAATGCGACTGCCTGCGATAGTGACGACCTGGGGCAGACTTTGACCTGGCTAACCTTAGGACTGCAGGGAACACAATGACTAACCCAGAAAAACTAGAAAAAATAGAAATTATGCTACTGATTAGTTAGTTGTGTTAGCTTTTTTGTTTGTTTGTGTTTAGTTATTGGATAACTATTAAAGACGAATTCAAGTAAACAAATAAAAGATAAAGCTCTCGGCGTTGATCAATTCCTGAGGGATGCTCCACGCACTCGACTTCGTTAAGCATTGTTTGGAAGTGACCGAATGTACATCTGGCCTTTACAATGACTCGCGGTGACCTTTCGATGTACCGAGCCAATGTTCCTATTCTCCCAGGCAAATCTGGTACCAATTTGCCGACCCTTGAGGGAAGGAAGGCTTGGTGAGCCACCGGTGCGGGGTTAAATCCCATGTGTGAAACGCAGGACATCTCCGACCACTGCGCCACACGCGTCCTCATTGAGAATAGTTGACGAAATAAGAGGAAAGTACGTTTAAATAGCACAACAAAAAGTGAATATATCCATGCTTTAATCAGAGTGAAGAAAGCTTTAACCAGATCTAGCTCTTTGGTAAAACTGTTGCTACCACCGATATCACCTGTATCATCTGCAGTCCCGTTGATGGTCGAGTGACTCGAGCGGGCGCCAGTAAATCCTCCATTTTTCCCTGTCGCGTGCAAGAGTAGCCCAGTGGGTTCTGCTCGCTCTAGAAACTCGTGGAGCTTCATATCATTCTTCAAGGCTCTTTGTGAACAACTCTGACTATCGGGTCGGTGGTCTTCACGCAGTACGTTTGACATCCCGAGGAATCCAGTCACTAACGGCTCTTGTCCATCGGTTGTCATTCATACGCATTACGTGTCTGGCCCACCTTATCTTCGAATGATTGGTGTACAGAACGGCATCTTTGACTTTTCATCGCTGACGCATATCGGAGCTTCGGATCCAATCCCTTACTTGTGTGGAACGGTACACTCCTAGCATCGTCCTTTCGACTGCTCGTTCGTTAACGCTGAGTGACCTTTCATCTTGCTTACGCAGCAACCAGGTTTCTGACGCATATGTTAGGGCAGGAAGTACCGTTTAGCCGAAAAGGTGGGCACGGAGTCGGGTGTTCTTTGTTTTCTTGACTACATCCTCGATGCTCTTGAAAGCTCTCCAAGCCGCTCGTTTCCTTCTCCTCAGCTCTGGAACTAGGTCCTTCCTCGTATTGATTTCCCGACCTAGATAGACACAACTGGAGCACTCAGAGATATTCGCTCCGTTGAGCGTGAATGGGGCATGCGAAACCAATCCGTTCTTCATGAACATCGTTTTTTTTGAGGTTTAGTGGAAGACCAGTCTTTCCACAGGCTTTATCAAAGTTGTCAAGCATACGTTCCACTTGGCTAATGTTTCGTGTTATAAGGACGATGTCATCAGAAAAGCGAAGATGGTGTAACTGCCAGCCGTCGATTTTCACTCCCATATTATCCCATTCCAACGTTCGCATTACTTTCTGGAGGGTGGCGGGAAAAAATTTTGGCGAGATGGTATCCGCTTGCCCAACTCCTCTTTTGACGTCAATGTTAATATCGTTGTAGAATGGTGAGACCTTGGTTGTGGAATTTTTGTACAACTCACGAAGAATCTTTATGTACTGAGTAGCGACTCCTTGACTATCAAGGGCTTTCATAGCTGCTTTTATCTCAATTGAGCCAAAGGCGTTTTCTTCAAATCGATGAAAGTGAAATAGAGCGGTCTTTTGTACTCTCCCGATACTTCAGTGAGCCGTGTTACCATGTGGATGTGGTCCATCATGCTGAATCCTTTTTGAAACTCTGCTTGCTCACATGGCTGTCTTTCGTCTAGTGTTCCGCCAATCCTGTTTAGGACGGCTCGAGTGAAAAGTTTGTAGATGTCAAAGAGTAAGCAGGTTGGGCGCCGATATCGTGTAGGTCACCCTTCTTGAAAAATACCACGCTGGTCTTCCAGTGAGTAGGGACCTTGCATTCAGACAGATAACGTGTGCAGAGCCGAGCCGGTGTGTTTGCGAGGACTATCGGAAGATTCTTCAGGCATTCTAGCCTTATGCTGTCCGGAATTGGTGCTGTTCGTTTTTTCACCAACAAAATGGCATGTCGGATTTCGGAAGGGGGAACCGACGGTGCAACATATCCATTCTCCTTTATTTCATATGACGGGAGATGGATGTGGCTATCGAAGAGATCCGAGTAATATTCGTGTATGATTTTCTCTATTGCCTTTCTGGGGCGGTTGCCTGCAGCTCGTGCGATTCCACGCTGGCGTATCAGCTCGAGTGTTTCTGCAGACGCCTCTTGGTGGCATTCGAACTCTCAGCTTTCATAGCGCTAACGTGAAGATGTTGAATGAGCCGATTGTATTCCTCGTCGATGTTAACGACAGCGGCATTTTCCCAACAGCCGCCTAGTGATTTGAATAGTCTATCCAATTCATGGTGGTTCTGGAACTTCGGTTTTTGAATTTAGCGGCTTTTTCTCCTTTCCGCGAAAAATAGAATCTTTAACGATGGAGACGATGGTCGGATCCCATGTAGAATTTTGGGGCAACAGCGATATCGGTTAGGCAAAATCTTCTATTTACTATGATGCGGTTTATTTCGCTGTGGTACTCTCCATTGGAAGACTTTCACGTCCAGCGTTGAGGGTGGAGCTTCTGGAATTTCAACTTACCATGGATGGCCTTGGTCAGCATGATTAACTCAGATAGCTGCTCACCCTGTTCGTTCCATTCTAATCCGTGAGTTCCAGTGTTACGTTCTTCAAACGTTCTTCTTGGTCCAATCTTGGCGTTGAAATCTCCAATGACGACCTTTAAGAATGTGTGGTCTTCTCTGTAGAACTTCTGCAAGTCCATATAGAACGGCTCGACTTCTTCTTCGTCATAGTTTGATGTCGGCGCGTAAACGACGATGATTCTCAAAGCCGGAATTGATCCACGTCTTTTTAATCGTAAACGTCCGATTCGGGTTGTAAGTTGTTCGAATGAATCGATGTTCATGGACAAACTCATGTTGATGAGAACGCCGACTCCACCGACTCCTTCACTGTCGCATCTTCCGAGGAACAGTTCTTCTCCGGTGTCATAGACGGGTTGAAAGGCTGGCGTCTTCTCGTCTCGGCCAGGCCGATGACATCGTACTTTATCCCTCTTGCTTGCTTGAGGAAGTCTTCTATCGATGACTCGTATGCAAGTGTACGTGCGTTGTAGGTACAGATCATCACCATAGTTCTTTGAAATCGAGGCAGCTTCCTTTGGTTCTGAGATTTTAACACCCTCTCCGTATTCGTCCTAACCAACTCTGCGAAATTGGGGATCTATCAGGGTCAGGGGAATGAGGCCCGTTTTTTTTCACTACGTTTACCATTTTTGATACCCACGTATAGCTTGCTCAGCTCTGAACGTGGGGACTGGGTATACTCACGGGTAGCTTGCCAGGCTCTCCCATAGTGGACATGGTGCTTATTTGTTGAAGGCGACTCCTAACCGCCTCCCATATACTTCTTTGTCACTTGATTGCAGGCTTTAGGCCGAACTGACTCGTAGAATACAATCTGCATAAGCAAGAACGCACCCGCATACGCACGCATGAACACACCTAGCAAATACAGAAAGATTGTGCCAAATTAGCGCAGCAGAATCAGGGAGTCCATCCCCTGGATCCACCTGCGTCTCACGGAAGCAAAGGTCGCTTTTGGTCCGCGATTAACTACCTATTCGCTATCCTGAGACCCGCCACATAGCCTCGCGACTAACCGGCTCGAGATCCTTCATATGAGGGAAATCCGAGGTACCAGCGATGTGCCGACCCGAATAGTATGAAGATGAAGAATGGAAAATAGGAATGGCAATGCGGAAATTGCAAGTTTTACCACGGTTACCCGTATTCATACCTGATAGAAAACCGAGGTTTTAATTAATAATGCCAAGGTTAAATGACGGTCGGTTTGAAAGATATTGATTCGCTATGTGCCAGCTATTAATATAACACCGGTTGGAGCAGGGTGCACTGCCAGCTTAAATAGATCACACTGGGTGGCGACAATCGAACAATTCTCGTCCTGTATAGAGGACGCCGCCCAGTGAAGTGAACCCGATGGCCCCTCCAGTGTACTCGACCCGATGTGACAATGAACAACATTGTGATAACAACCAGTCGTAAGTCATCGAATCAATCCCGCTCTAAGGAAAACGAAGACGTCGAAACATCAGCCAAGTGGGCGTCTTTCTCGTGTTAGCTTAATAATCCAACAAGGTATTGATAGAAAGCTATTAGCGCTGCACCAATGGACACCTTACTTGTATCGCAAACTTGTTGATTAGGCTATCACATTAAGAAAAGATTTTAAGGCAGCGGTACTTGAGCTTAAACCGTACTACTCGTGAAAGGCGCCTTCATGGTCCAGACAGGAAGAGTAAGGTGCGACGTTATCGTACTGGCCGAGACGAGACGACGCCACTCATTCAACGCCGTCTGTGACACCGCAGAAGAACTATTCCTCGGAACATACGACGGTGGAGAAGTCAGCGGGTCGGCGTTCTCCTCAACACGAATTTGGCCATGAACATAGATTCATTCGAACAACTAACAACCCTAATCGGACGTTTACGGTTGAAGAGATGTGGATCAATACTGGCTTTGACAATCTTGCTCGGTTACGCACCGATATCAAACCACGACGAAGAAGCAGTCGAAGCGTTCTGTGTAGATTTCGAGAAGTTATACAGAGAAGACCCATGCATTCCTCAAGACCATCATTGGAGATTTTAACGATAAGAATAGATCCATAACAACGCACAACGCACAATGGTACCCACGGATTAGAATGGAACGAACAGAGTGAGCGGCTGTCTGAGTTTATCATGACGACTAAGACCATCCATGGTAACTCGCGATTTCAGAAGCGCGCCCTCAGTGCTGGACGTAGGAGTCTCCCAATGGAGAGTACCATAAAATAGATCATATCATCATAAGTCGAAGGTTTGGCCTAGTCGGTGTCGCTGTTGTCCCAAAGTTCTAGACGGGATCAGACCATCGCCTCCTTCCTGCAAGATTTCACTCCTCGCAGAAAGGAGAAAAGGCCGATAAATTCAAAAACTTTGGAAAACTTTTGAGCATCGAGGATGTAGTGAAGTAAGCAAGAAGCACCCGACTTCGTGCCAACATTTTTGATTCCACGATTCTTCTAGTGTTGACGTATGCGCCAAAAACTAGGTCACTTCGCAAGCAGGATGAAAGACAACTCACTGTCATTGAACGGGCAGTCGAAATGACGATGGATGGAGTATCCTGTGTTGCAGCACTGAGAGACAGGATTCGAAGATTCAATGTACGCCAACGGTCGAAGATCAAAGACGCTATTTTGCACGCAGAACTGTCAAAGACAAGGCGGGCTGGACATGTAATGTGTATGAATGACAACCGATGGAAAAGAGCCGCTCGTCATTGGATTTCTCGGGATGTCAAACGTATTGGGGGAAGACCACCGACACAACGGTCAGAGTTCTTCACGAAACCCCTAAAGAAAAGTATGATATTCAACGAATCGGTAGAGCGAGCAAAATACACTGGGCTACTCTTGCACACGATAGGAGTAAATGGAAGATTTACTGGCACCGCTCGAGCCACTCGACCATCACCAGAACGACGGGTGACCGGTGATGTTTTGATCAAATTCAGTAGGAAAGTTTCACAGAATGTTGCAGTGGAGACTCAATGTGCCAGACATACAATTTATTTCAGACAATTTCTACTAAATAAAATCCGTATTCAAATTTTAGACAGCCGTCATTAACTTAAAATTTTACCTGCTACAAAACAATTCCTTCCAGCTACGGCGAAGTAGCAGTTTCCAATAGAAGACACTCTTGGAGTCTAAGTCCAGAAGGCAAAAATGAATCAAAAAGAAGCGCAGAATTCATGAAAGTCCAATAGGAAGTACGGTAATAGACCGAAAACTGTGCATATTCGATAAATTCTAAGCAAGGACCTAGTATCGATCAGGAAAGGTCATTTAGCCAGGTGCAATCTTAAAATAGACATTTCGATTTTAAAGTCCTGTTAATTCTGTTCCAACCATTGAGCACTTAGGATACATATTTCATACGCATGTGAAATGGATAAGGAGATCCATTATTAACGGATGATCCGTGCAAATATTGGACCGGAGCCTTAAGGTTTATTTTCATTTCTTGATGGACCAAAATTTAACTGGCCATAGTTTTGCCTTAAAAAGAACTGTACAGAAAGAGTCCATTGCTGGGTGAGATCACTGAAGCAAAAATGGGTTTAAATTTCCATTCAGAAGCTTTATAAATTGAAGAAAAAAGTGTAAAGCAAGTGTAAAGTAATTCTAAGAATCGCCAACGTACTCGAAGAAGGTCAAGCGCACAAAATGTCTCACCGGTCTAGAAGGACCGATTAATGCTTCAATTAGTGGTGATACACGGACTCTAGGGACCACCTGATACGTATACTCCGAGATTTCAGAACAAAAAACCGTCCCTAATTTACTGGATGTTGGTTATTTCAAAGTTGTGCCGGAACCAGCACGATACTCATCGAAGAGGGCTCACTGAAGTATTTAAGGCCTATCTATTCTCCGATGTGCTACCGAAACGAATGAAAACGTTGTGTGCTAGAGTCACCTGTTCTTTAATGACTTAGGGTATAAAGAGATTGAAGGGTAGCACAGCAGCTGGTGATTAGATAATCCACACATCTGCTTTTAAAAAAATACTTGGATTATGTAGCCATACCAAAAATCTTGTCCCAGAAATAAAATAATACCTATTCCCGGATAGGGTAATCGCGCTTCGATCTGGTCCAAGATTTGCAAATATCTCAGCATCGTAGTGCTTGCATTTTACATCATACCTTGTCATGAAAAGTAGTAAGAGGCCACAAATAAAAAGTTAACGTCATGATTTCGAATACAGCCTTAGTTTAACACGGTTGAATTACGATTTGTTGCCTCCAGACCAATCCCGTTGGAGGGTTACTGCTGATGGAACCGTTAGGTAGAAAATTGGCTGAGAAAAGGCAAAGCAAGGGCCTCAGTGGTGCTGTGTGGAACAGATGAAGCCTCAAAGAGGATAAACGCGGTTCGATCTGGCCTGGGGTGCAAGTTTTGCAAATGTCTCAGCATCATTTCACATTATACCTTACTGTGAAAAATTATAATGGGCAGTAAATAAAAAGGTGACATTATGTAGCCATAATTTTGCACGAACCGTCTTCACATATGTTGTGAAGATGCCAACGTATATTGGATTCACTTCTTTCCCCACATCCACTATTCACGAAGGCAATCGAGCTTTTTAGGCAATGCTCATTAAGTTCGGGCACTTAATGAGCAGCATTCAGCTAAATGCACTTTCCAGCATCTGCCGTCTCAAAGAAGTTTCCAAACGAGCAGCTACGCCCTTTCACATGTAGCTCTATCAGATTGTGCTAGTAGAAAAAACCTTCAGAACCTCTCTCTAGGCGCTGTCTCTAGTTCCTTCTGGCAAAGTTCCACCCGCTACAGAAGTAACACAAGCATCCCATCTGCATTATCTTGAAGTGTTCGTCCAGTGTCCATTCAGTTCGTTCATGGCCCTCAAGTCGCCCGTACTACTGTTATTGTTGTTATTGCTAATATTATCATAAAGGTCGCAACCCTGTCTCAAGGCGTTCGACTCAGCGACTTAAACACAAAAGACCCGCGTGTCAGCTACAGCGACTAATGTTCCCAATGACTTGGTATTCATATGAAGTTGAGAGCTCAACGCCACAATACATA